ATTCCTATTGTTCTATTCTTCTTCTCCTCACCCTTCCTATTTACCTCTCTCCTCTCCCTTATAACTATAACCATCTTGCTTGTATCTTTAAGATTTATATTGGCTATGTAATAGTATACATCTGATTATATGTTATGAAAGTGGAAAATTAAAAAAGTATATTAAAAAAAATAAGAATCATAAGGTAAAACAATCAGTGATAGTCAGAGGTTACTCATAAGCAATGAAATCATACTAGGAAAAATAGAGCAATATAAATCTTAAAGATACAAGCAAGATGGTTATAGTTATAAGGGAGAGGAGAGAGGTAAATAGGAAGGGTGAGGAGAAGAAGAATAGAACAATAGGAATACAATCGAAAAAACAGCGGCTGGAGGGAAAATGGCCAAGGGTTTTTTTAAAACCTCAAAGCGCAGGAAAGGACCTCAACCGAGGGAAGCTTTCAAAAGTTGCCCTGCTCCCTTTCTCCTTCGCCCGTCTCCCAAGAGGAAAGTGCTCCACTTGGCTACCTCACCAGCTCTAGGAAGGGAGTCCTTCAGGATTGGGCGGCATATAAATTTTAATAATAAATAAAATAAATAAAATAAAAACATCACGATGCGTGTTTCCAGCCAGCCGAAGCAAACAGAGCAGAACATTCACCGAGCATCACCCCCCACACACACACATAAGCACTGTACTCCAGGGGTAAGTCGGGGCTTAGAAAGGGGCCCAGAGCCCCTCTTCTCCCCTCATGGCTCAGCCCCCCTGGCCCCATCCAAATCAAAGTAATGCTGACCAGTTTGGGGGGAGGGAAGCAGGAGCTCAACCCACAAGCCAGACCACCCAGTGCTCAGAACCATCAGAATGGAATTTCTCTCTCAGCCAAGCGAAGCTCCCCCCACCCCTTGCACCAAGTACTTTCTTCCATGCCCAAAGCCAAGCGCAGCAGGCAGCGGGAGCCCAGGATGGAAGGCTGAGCCCCTCTGAGCCTTCACCGGCTGCCCCTCTCCTGCTCTCGGGGAGCAACTTGGACCTTCTGGTCCTCTCCAGGCATCCCAACCTTCCAGGCAGTTCCTGAACTGGTTCCCAGCCCCCCCCCCCCCAGGGCCTGTGCACGGGGGAGGGTCTGTGCTCACATGGCCCAAAGGGCCTTTCTGGGATGAAAAGGCTAAAAGCAAAAGCAGAACCGAAGGAAGGGCTGTCTCTGAGCAGAAGCCCCCACGCAGCTCCTGCTTCCTCCTGGTTTGGGCCGAAGGAGGGAAAAAAGGGGTGGGGGGCTTGCCTATGCAGCCCCAGGCGGAGGCCCTTCACTCAAAGGAGACTCAAAGGAAGCCACCCAGCCCAGGAAAGCCATTTCCCGCTCTTTGCGTGGGAATGACCCAATGACCAGGGCCTGGATTGGGTTCCACCACAAATCCGCGAAGCCCTTATCCGCAGAGACATAAGCGCAAAGACTAATTCGCGCCGTTCGAAGCGCT